GAGCTCCACACAGATGGTGCTGCTGCCCCAGCAGCAGTTGAAACAATCCAGGTGTCCCTCTCGCCCCTGAGCTGGGAGACGGCCAGCAAGCCAACTCTGCGCTGCTCTTCTGAAGGGACTGTCTCCCAGTGCAGGTGGGACACGGTCTGTGTCTGGACCGGCTCTGGACCCGCTGTCCGTGCCTGAGCTGCTGATTTTATTTTTAATCAGCACGTTCGAATCTCGGCTTCTAGTTGCTCTCTGTTGCTGCTGTGTAACCCCGCCCGTTCGGGTCTGTTCCTTCTCGATAAGGATAGGTGTGAGTGTAGTGGTTCCCCTGAGCTGTAGGAAATTGCTCCTCGCCGTGAGGTGACTATCGCTGCGGTTTCAGCCGCTGCTACACTGAATGCTGTCTAACTGCGGAAAGTAGCCGAAGGTGTTGTACTGATCAATTTTATTCATCTTTCCCTACATCCGACAAGTACCTCTTTCACCAGTTTCAACTGGTGAAGGCTGAGGGGGACGCGGAGCGCCACCATGCCGCCGCGGTGCGAGTCTCCGATCCGTGGAACCGGCGAGCGGGACCCACGGAGACCACGCGAGGTGTAACAGAAGCGAACAGATTCAAGTTTCACGTCATTCCTTTCAACGTCACAATACGTGTCATCTCCGTGCTTCCTGGTCTTGTCTGTAACTTATTTGCCACGTGTTCTTCAGAGCTGTTTAATAACCGTTTTCTATAAGATCACAGATCCAAATACTTGCATTAGGAATTTCTTTTCACAAACCCCATGAGACACACTGACAGGGAGAGAAGCTTGGTGTCAGAGCGCAGGGTCAGCCATTTATACAGCACCCCTGGAGCAGCTGGGGTGAAGGGCCTTGCTCAGGGGCCCCACGGAGCGGGACTCCTCTGCCGGCCGCTGGATACGAACTGGCAGCCTTCCAGCCACAGAGACAGACCCTGAGCCACAGAGCACCGCCCCAGTTACATCATTCGTTGATTTCATTGCTGTCGATAGTAAGAGAAGACTGATGATCGCAGTGTCTGCACAAATTGTAATGTGGGGCAACTTTCCGAGATCTTACAGCCCCAACAGCCCCGCCTGTCCCGATCGTGAGAAACGGAGCCGCTGCCTCCACTCTGCAACTCTTATCGATAATCAACACTCCGGGTACACACACAGGACACACTGCAGCTGAGGACAAACACTCTCGTTTAAAAACAACCGGCCGGATGATCCTATCGCCCTACAGCTGACCAGCACGCGATAATTACCAACTAATTAACACCCCGGAAGCGCAGGTTAAGAGCCGCGCGCCGCGGCCACGCCCCGAGCTCGGCGGTGATGTAATTGCCCCCCGGCCGTGATTGGCTGCTGCCGTGGAGGCGGAAGTCGCGTCCCTATAAAGCGCAGCGCGGGCGGGGACCCGGCTTCTCACGCGCGCGCGGCGGCCGGAAGCTGGTGCCTGTCTCCGTCTCCGTGTCTGTGTTGGTGTGCAAGACGCACCGAGGCTGCGGTTCGAGCTTCTCCTCGCCCTGCGACCCCAGCGGCCCTCTCCGCCGCTTCTCCCAGCCCGGGGCGTCCCCTCGCCTCCTGCCGCTTTCGGGGTGCATGACAAGTCTGGGGGCCCCTCAAGATGCCGTTTAGTTGTGAGACGGGGCTGCGCCTGCTCCTGGTGGCCTGGGCAGCCGCGCTGGGGGCGGGCGCCCTCGGAGGGGGGGCAGGACAGCGGAGCCGCGACCAGGGCGTCCCGCGGTCCTCCTCCGAGCGCCCGCGCAGCTTCGAGGGACCTCCGACCCCACTGGCGCGACGCGGGCGGTACCGTCCCGGACCCCAGCTCCCTGTCCCGCTGCCCAGGGAGCGCGCCGAGCCGGAGACTGCCCGCCGGCCGACGAGGAGGAGGAGGAAGATGAAGGCGAGGCGGCCCTGCAGGCCCCGCCCGGGCAGCGGCAGGCGCTGCTGTGTGGGCGCAGAGAGCGATGGCGCCACCGGGCCTGGTACTGGGACTGATGCCTCCCCCATCGGGCTGCCTGCAGACCCGTCCCCACCTGGGCCCAGAGCCGAGCTCGCGGAAGAGCTGGATGGGGAGCTGGATTGGACCGGCTCCAGAACCCTGCTGGGCCCAGAGGAGCTGGACAGGGGCAAGAGGGAGGAAGATCAAGATCCAGGGCGACCCAGCAGGGGCAAAGAGGAAGACCACGGTACCCCTTCTCCGGGCAAGAGGGAGGAAGACCACGGTACCCCTTCTCCGGGCAAGAGGGAGGAAGACCACGGTACCCATTCTCCGGGCAAGAGGGAGGAAGACCACGGTACCTCTTCTCCGGGCAAGAGGGAGGAAGA